CCTGTATTGGAAGTTCAGAGCACACAGCAGTGGTTCTCAAGCAGGAAGGTCTTAAGATAAACCAGCAGACTTACTTTTCCAGTGCTCCAGAGGCCGCTGGATAGTAGTGAGAGGACCCAGTGAAATCCGGAGAGGAGGAAACCAAAGAGAACATTTTAGCATACTCTAAAAATATTATCATAATATAGATAACGTTTTATCATCATATAGATAATATAATCCAATTTGATACATAAGTCATATATCATTATATGCTAGATATGATTATTTAGTAATAAGCATATTATTTAGAGATCCTGTGGTCATGTTGTTAGAGATGCTTTCTGTATAAGTTTATGAGTCTCGTCTTGCAACTAAATAGGTGCTTTTGGGGATTCAGTGATTCATCTTTATGTAGGAACTTTCTTCACAAAGCAGGTTGCTGATGTGGACATGTAGGATATATTTGGATTGCCAATTTGAAAAAATCTTCTGCCATAGTCTGTGAAAGTCTCGTTGCAGAGTACTGAATGCACATCCTCAAAGTTAATGTTTCACTAGGGTTTTGTCTTTTGCAGGTAGACATATTTTAAGGAAGAAGAAGTTTGACTTGAATACAATTTTCTGTAGGGATGTTACGTTGCAAAATATCAGATGAGCATGCTGATCTGAAAAGAATGTGTTTACTCCACCACAGCAACTCTTGGAGGAATTGGAACATTTAGAACATGACCATCTTTCTTAGAAAATGGATAATGTTGGAAAAACTTGATTTTCCATTTCAATAAATAAAGCTGTACACATGAAAACTGCACAGAATTGGTTGGAGAACTCGCTGTTCTTACAGGAGTACATTCTGGGCTGGATTTCTTTTTTTAGTAATTTTTATTTGCTGCAGATTTACTGTTTCTTGCAGTGGGGATGCACCAGCCATCAGCATCAGCCATCAGCACCATTTTCAGATGTAGCCCACTGCCTCCTTAGTTCCTCTGCAAAATTCTGGTAACAGTAGTGTTTTAAAATCCTTATAATTGTTTCCTAGTCAAATGATTCAAACCGTACTTGGTCATCTAGTGAGCTACTGGATAAAGTACTTTTCCACATTTTCATTTTGTGAGCTTTTTTTACAAAAGATTGGAAGCCACATTTTTCCTGTGGAACAATTTTCAGGTTGTACAGACTGTTCTGTGCACACACTGTATTCTCAGTCTCCAAGTAAGCTAATTTTCTAACTTAAACTAATGTTCTTTTGTTTCCCCAATGAAACTTCTGTGTGGTAGGAAAACAGCTGTATATCGTACATTTTATCAAAGTTCCTTTAAATTATCCATTTCTGGTATTGCAGAGGTGATGGCATCAACCTTAGAAAGTAAGCTGTATCATTCTAGTACGGTGGAATGAAACCAGGAGGGAGTCCATTCTTTGTTCTCTGTTAAATGGGAAGATGTAGAAAGGTACAAAATTGCAGTTTGTAGACTGGTGAAGTTAGCTACATCATCTAGAAGAAAATGACTTTTCTGTGTGCTTGCTGCTGTCCGTGTAGATCTGAATATATAAATGTCAGGGTGTATATGTGGTGTAAAGTTCAGTAATTGAGAGGAAAATAATATCTCTGGAAATGAGAGGTTGGAAAACGACTGCTTTAGTTATCAATTTCCTCTGCTTTGCAGGAGCTCTTCTGAAATCCATTTACAGTAAATATTTTTATTCCCACATTTTCATTCTGTTCTTTTTGCCTTCTGGTATCTGAGGACTGTTGGAAAGCCTAAAATGGTATTGATTCAATGTTCACCTTAGGTAAAACTCCTTTTTGCTTTATCAGTACTGACTGTTATTGCATAAGAGCAGCACAGAGGAACTGAAGTTACAGATAACATATGCAAAGTGCATGATTATAATTTTTCACTTAGTTATGAAATATCTCCATTAGCCATCACAACCAGAACAATTTAAAACCAGTTTCTGTTTCAATGTAAAATGAAACAGTTGTCTATTGCACAAATATCCTATTGTTTTCTAGGCTATGTACAATTCTGACAGTTCCTTGTATGCTTGGAATCTGGTCTGACCTGAAGAAGTGCTGGTGTAAATCATTGCCTAAGTTATTTACCAGGATATTAGGCCTACCTTCACCCCATTGGCAGAAAGTGCTTCTTTCTCCCCTCATCTTTCAAAATTCAGTTATATTTAATCCTAATGTTGCAAGACTGAACGATCCTCGCATGCTTTGACATGCATAGATGCTTGTTCCCAATTTTAACTGTTATATAGGACAGCTCCATCAGTAGTCTCTGAAACAAAGTCTTCACAAGTAAAGAAGGACAGAGGATGGGCTAATCTCTTAATTTCCAGTGTGAAGGGATTTAAGTATGACGGTCAGTGTCATGTGGACAGCAGACAGGACTGTTGATAGAGGGTAATTCAGTCATTCTCACTTTAAATTGCGTGTGCCATCACTCTTTTATCTGGTGTAAGTAAGCTTTTGAAGTACAGAGGAATACAGTAGGAGACAAAATGTTCTTAAAAAATATTTCCCTACCCACCTCCCTTTCCCTCCTTCCTTTTTCCCAGCTCCCTTCTTCTTTTCCTCTTCCCCTGCTCTCCCTTCCATGCTCTCTCTTCTAATCCCAGCAAAATTTCCTAGTCTGGTGATGAGAGAAATCCTATTGAAGCATCAGTAAGTAGCGTGAACAGCTGACTGCACAGCCAGGGTGGTGTGACAGCCACTTGTTATGCCCACCCTGTTTCTGTCACCGCATTCTTTCCTCTGCAGGCTCTCTCTGTGGGCATGCTGGCTCCTGTGCTGCAGTGCTATCATCTTAGGAGGTGAGGTTTAAGGTAGGGAGTCCACAGCAGCCAGCACCAGGGAACCCCAGGTGTTGGCTCCACGGGGTACATTACCATTATAAAAAGTCAGTAACAACTTCCCTTGAGTTTCCTTCACTACGCTGCAGCTATTAACAAGAAAACAGGAGCTGCCTCTGGGTTTTAACATGCAATATATGTTTGTGTGTTCATGGATTTTCATCCCAAATCAACCTCAGGGTCTGCAGGTCTGAAAATCAATGTCTCTGGTAAATTTTTTTCCCTAATTTTCTCCAAGTATTTGACAGGACAGAAAGTGTAATTCTTTAGAGGATTTAAAGTATAAATATTTTTCATTGTTTCTACGGTCCAGTGTTTCCCATAACTACTTCTGTGAGAATACATAATGTAATCTGTTAATTGATCCAAGGAAATACTGTTTAGGTAGTTCCATTCATTTGGGTTTGCAGTTAACATAATTTTGTTCATTCTCTTTGAACTATGCTCTGTTCTTCTTTCTTCATTCAAATGCACTCAGTTCAAGAGTCAAGGTTTAGGAGCTTTCAGAATTACCATAGTAAAAAATCTGTTGTGGCTTTACAAAATAAAAATATGTTACTCAGTTTCAAGTAGACCTTGTGAGTCTGAAATAAAAAAACTATAGTAAGATTTGTGATATCGCTGTTAAAAAGTTCTTCTTTGTTTAATGGTTCGTAGTGAAGTTGCTTCTATTTAAAGCATTGAGTTTGATCTTGGCTTTGATCTAAAGCTTTTGATCTTGAAAGAAGGATGTTGTGGCAGTAAAACAAAAAGCGTAGGAGAGATTTTTCTTTTTTTTTTTTTTCAAGTGGTAAAGGATACTTTCAAGACCTAGTATGCACTTACTGAACTTACCTTTACTTAAATCTGTTTGCAAAGTCTATCTAATTGTATATATTTGAGGGATTGCTCAAATGCATGCTTTAATGAACCCTATTCTCCTCCAAGGGCACAGGTTTTTCTTTTGAAGCTTTCAGGGAATTCCATATATACTATAAGAGTATTAAAAAAAAAAAAAGTACTGAAAATACCTTACTAGCATCATTTTAACTGTACCAAATATGATACAGTCTATCCTTTATTGCCTCTTGTTTTTTAATTATAAATACCTAAAATCCTAACTTAAGAATTTATAGCATTCCGATTTTGCATGGCTAACATGGCTTGGGGTCTCTCCCATCGTGGTGGAGTTGGAATATCCTCTTCAGAGGCTGCAGGTACACCTGTTGAAGTCCCATGCCTAAATTTAATCACATCCTCACAGCATCTTGTCGAGTAAATAAAGCATTTAGCCGAGGCCTAGGTAATAAATAGGCTTTGCGTGCCACAAAATGACTAAAAAGCTGCTCCGCGTCTTGCTTTTAAGATGCTTTTCAGAGCCTCCAAGGTAGTTCAATAGTCGGATTCGGGAGGTGCAGGCGGGTACCAAGGCCTGTCTTGGGTCAGTTCATGGTGATGATACGTTGTCCTTTGTCTCCTGAACTGGCCCGTTAGGCCGTTCCTTTCTCCGGACAGACCCGTGACAGCGGGTGTCTACAGGGAGGTTAACAGGAGAGCGGCTTTCATAGCCGGGGTCTTGAGGGGAGGGTATCTCTAATGGTGAGGCTGTAAACCCGGGACGAGCCTGCCTGCCCGGGTTGGCAAGGGCTGTCCATCGGACACGGCACCGCCGGGGCCAGGCCGGGCTCCGAACATGAGGGGCGATCCGAGCCGGGCCGGGCCGGGCTCCGAACATGAGGGGTGATCCGAGCCGGGCCGGGCCGGGCTCCGAACATGAGGGGCGATCCGAGCCGGGCCGGGCTCCGAACATGAGGGGCGGTCCGGGCCGTGCTCCGGACCCGCGGGGCACACGGGCTGGTCGCTGCCGAGCGGAGCCGCGGCCCGGCCGCCCCGGAGCCCCGGCCCTGACGTCTCCGAGGCTCCTCCTCCCCGCGGGGCTCCGGGACCCCGCGGAGGTGTTTCATTTCCGACCAGGGCTGCGCTGCCGGGGCGGGAGCGGGAGCGGGGGTGGCCCGGCACGGGATGGCCCGGCTCGGCAGGGAATGGCTCGGCTCGGCTCGGCCCGGGGCGGGCGCTGCTCCGGCAGTCACCGGGCCGGGTGTGGCGGCGGGCGGACAGGGCTGCTCCGTGGCCGGGGAGCCGAGCCCGCCTCACCTTGCGCTTTCTCCCCCGTGCAGCCCCTGCTGGAGGAGGTCGGGACGTGGAAGGAGTGCCAGCTCGTCCGGCAAGTGAGCGGCGAGGTGAGGAGGGGACCTTGGGCGGCTGGCACACCGCGCCTCGCTGCTTGCCCTTGCAGAGCCGCTCCTGGAGTTCTCCACCTGCCGCGCCACCCCCGCCCCTGCCGCGCTCCTGCTTTAAAAAATAATTGCTTCCGTATGGAGCATAAAAATATTGGTAGGGTCAAAAAAAAAAAAAACAAAAAAAAAACAAAAAACGGGTGTCATTACTTTATGAAATAATAACAACCCCACCAGCCAGATTTGACGTTGGTAGTCTGGAACAACGTTCGAGTGAATGGCTGGAAATAAATCTCTTATTTGAACTAGAAGGTGTAAAGGATAAATCGCAGAGATTTTTGCCCAGGATTTTTGCGCGCTGCAGTGATAATTTTCCACTTGGCAATGTGGTCTGGCATCAAACACGTTCTTTATGCAAAAAAACCTTAAACCGAAAGCTCTGAGACGAAGAACACCACCTGGCACTTGGTCCGTGCACAAGTAACTAAACAGATTACCCAAGACCACGTCCCTCTGTATGGGAAAAGTGCTCTTCCCGATCCAGTGAAGCAATTAAAAAAAATGTCTTCAGTCTCTTATAGCTTTTTACCAGTGCTGAGTAGCTGCACTCAGGTTGCGTCTTCTGCCTAAAAAAGCACCATGGTTTTGAACTCCAGGTCACAAAATGGATTCAGACAAACCAGAGGGTCAGAAAAAGCAGCAAAAAGAAAAGAAAGCTGGATGAAGAAACTTTCCAGAAGGTAAGCGATCTCGATGTCTGTCTGGGTAATGGGACAAAGGGCAGCAGATCTGAAATGCTTTCTGATTATGCCTTCATAAGCTCTATAGCGATGTTATTTAGTGTCTTCAACAAAATGATAGTAAAAAAAGGGTGTTACAGATAAAGTTTCACAGTCACTATGTAGTTACAATGGCAAAAAGTTAACAATCTTTTCAGTCGTTAGTGTAGGAGGCAAAATTTTCCTATATTTGTATTTAACTAATATTCTGAGGAAGAAAGAGAAGGGTGCTTTCAGCAGGGAAATATAGCACTTGAGATCTTTTGACAGGACCTACACCACTATTTTTGGATACTGGTAGCTGAGAAACAGTTTTCATGGTGGATTTTGGGACAGTGGTAGATGTGATGTGTATGTCGAAACAAATATTTAGACTATGCTGTTGAATCTTCATTCAGAGGGTGAGTTTGAAAGTCATCTATTTGCAATATAGATTTCAGTTAATGACAATGTGTCTAGAAAGGTATTTTAAAGATTACTACAGAAGATTTTTAAACCTGAATACAACTGAACTTAAACTGTTTTTAAATCAGTGATTTTGATTAAGCTGTTACGAGAGACTTGTTCCTAAATTGCAACGTAGAGAGGTAAGTAATTAGCTGATATTTTAACTAAAGAGCTATTTTCTGTCCTCTGAGGGAAAAAATGTGAATAAAGATGCACTTCCAAATGCATTATTAGAATTATGGTGGTTTTGTTCGTTTTGGTTTTGCAAACAAATTTATGATTATTTTTTAAAACTCTAGTTACCTCTAAAGGATTAAAATAGCAGTGTGTTGCTTTGCTGTTTCGACAGTGCTTCTAGAATGCATGATGAATCATTGCTGTTTCTGTAGCCAAATTCTTGGTGATAGCATGGCTGCCAACTCCTGGGATGTGTTGCCTTAGTACGGACATTGCAGCTTTATGACAAATGTCCTCAAAGTGCCTGGTGTAGGGGTGATTTATCAGCTCCACGGTCAGCTAAAACCCACCAAAACGCATCCTTTTATTCAATACTTGCATTTTGTAACTGGAAAACATAATTTAGGGAAGATGTTCTATGTTGTTGTACTTCATTTAAACAGAGATAGCATAAACAGTTTAATTCACATTCACATTTTGAAATAATTTTTAAGCGGTACAAAGATCCTGTGTTACACCTGAACAGCAGGTTTAGAAGTGCCTTATTGCTGTTACGCCAATCCTAATCTCTTTTTATAGGAGAGAGCTTCCTTAGTACTGATAAAATTCTATTTCTGTTTGGAGAGTTGTTCTCCTGCTGCTTGGTTTGTGAGAGAGAACTTCAGCACGTAGTCTTGCCTTGGTGGAAATGCAGAACCCGATGTGTAAACCTGAGATATACTCATCTTTTTTCGACAGTAATTCTGGAGCAGGGTCTGTGAATTTAAACTGAAGGTAAACATAACTGTTGTCTTGTGATACCTGTAAGTATTAATGCCGTGGAGGTCCAGGGCAGGTTCACAGCGCTGCTGACCGGGCGCTGAGCCGCGTGGCGAGGAAGAGGTGTAACAATAACCTGACATCTGGGAACAAACCACTGACTGGTCTCTGAGGTTGGAATTCTTTATGTTGCACACAAGTTTGGCCATTGCAGTGGTGACTTTTCCGATACAGTTACAGATGACAGAAGCGAAGAAGGGTGAGGGACCTCCCTGGAAGTACTTCATTGTGTTATTTGGTTTCAAAGCTGGTTGCAGCTAGGTTTTCAATGAGGGCTCAACCAGTCTGTGCCATTCCCAGTCAGTGTGGATGGTGCTAACCTCTGTTCCACTAGAGTTCTTGGTTTTCAGCTGTGTCCATATCAGTTTTCAGCAGAAATGGCATTATACAGCAGGTAAAGTGTCTTTCAAGGTGAAAAAGAGAACAAGAAAGAGAAAAGCATGTAATGGAAAAGTATGACGCCCCTTCAGAAAGTAGAGAGGTAGGAATAAAGGCATGGAGTGAGAAGAGGGAGCTGAGAAGGTGAGCAAAAGTGAAGAGAAGTCAGAGTTGGTATCAGCACATATCACAACTGTGATTAATATAAGGATAGTGATTTGCTGCATATCTAGAAAACTTAGCTTGGCTTTAATCTTGATTATCTTTTCCAAGCAAGCACAAACTCATTAAATGTAGCTTCTAAACTTCCACGTGCCTGCGGTGCCCGATTTTCCTCTGTCATTTCTTTTCTTTGTGATAGTCATACAAGATGCATGACTTTGCTACACTGAGGCACCACCAAATCAAAGCAACTGCTGCATCCAAGTACAAAATCTGGGATAGAGAGATAACTCTGTATGTAAAAAGTGAAACACAATTGTGAAGGAAACATTGCTGACAAGTGCCAGGGAATTGCTTCTTGAAGAAGTTGCCTTCTAAACAGTTTAGGTTTGAAGGAGTTGCCTGTACATGCACTTATGTTTATTTAAAGATATTTGAAGATACCGTGTGGTGGGTAAGAAGTGTGTGACCAGTAGTGTGAACTGTGCTCAAGGAGGAATATGAACCAGTGGGGAAGCTCGTGTGGGAAGTTGTGCTGCTTTCTAGTGTGGACCCACACATGGTGGATTACAGCAGTGTGTAACAGAATCAGTGGGTGAGAAAGGCTTCTACTCAAATAGCTATTTCTCATACTTTTACTTTCTTTCTATATTTGAGAGAGGGGTTGTTTTTTTTTTTTAGGTGGGGATTTCTTTTGTTTTAGCTTATTTTCATTACTAATATTTTTTGTTGCTCTGTCTCTGCAGTTTCTTATATTTTCTTACCAACTTTAGTCCCAGTCTTTTTTTCCTGCTTATTTTCCACCCCTCTTTACTTCTCTGTTTTCCTTGGGCTCCTTTGGTTACCTTTGGCACTGTTCATTCCTTTCTATTTACTTTCAGTAACTTTTATTTGTTTGAAAAAAGGAGAAACAAGTAGAAAAATCGAAAAAAAAAATTGTGTTCTACTCACCATGCTTTCTGTTTATAGTTCTCTATAGATACTCTTCTTACAGCGTGTGTATACATAAGTTTAAACACATTCACCCCTAGCGCTCTTTTTTTGTCATTCTGCCTATTCTCTTACATTTTTTACTCCTCATTTGTTCTTGTGCTGTCTCTTTGTCTTGTCATTTAGCTGGCCAGCACAGTTTGCAGTCAGAATGTGTATCAATAGAGGATGTTGTTCATGTGTGAATTTTAGAGAAGGTGTAACAGAGCTTGGTAAGAATTGTTTGGTTAAAATTAGCGTTGTTTTATTATGAAGAGTGTGAAATAACTGTTAAGTGTTATTATTATTATTTTTTTAATACTTGACTGTGTCTGCTTGAGCCAGAGGCAGAAGAAAATAACCTTTGAGTCAGGCTAGTGGAATTGTAGCGTGCGATCTGTGTCTGTTGTGGAATTGGAGGGGAAACATTTTTCATTAGAAGACCGATTCACTTTTACACGACATTCAGAGTTAAAATATAAAGCTGCTTTAAAAATGTTCCAGTGGTGTAAAAAGTGTAACAGGATGAGGTATGCAGGTACCCAGTATTTAGGAAAAACACTGAAATATGTGTGTATATATACACTCAACAGGTAAGGAAGATATTTCTTGCAAATTATCAAAACTGCATTTGTCTGTTTCAGTTTTAGTTCAATTGGATACTGGAAACTTTGAGGAGTAATTCAGTGTTTCCAGAATAATTTTTGCTGCTTTTTCAGAAATATGTTTAATGTGTTTAAAGTTTGTCTGCTGGTTTACCAGCGATGTGACTGTCCTTTGATTGTTTTCCTACTGGTTGTTGCATTTGTCTCACTCCAGAGATTTACAATTGGCAGTACTTAAGCTCTGTGAACAACCTGAGCAAAAATGACTGTTGAAATGGCTGTTAAGTTTCTAATAAAACATAAAAACCCCAAAAGAGTTGCGATAAATGCGACTAGCGCTAAATGCTGTAACTCTTCTGTTCTTTAACAGCGAATTCGCAGTGTAACTGAAATACAAGAAACAAATCTTGTAATCCACTAAAATGAGCCTTCTTGTTATATTTTAAGTAGAAAATGTTTTGAAGTCTCAGAAAAAAAGGTTGATTAAAAAAATTGTGTGGTGTAAGAAAGCTCTTAGTTAAGGAAGTTTATTCATGACGATGTGTTTCTTCTAAATCAGGTAAAGACCATTAATATACAGTGCATTAAAATTACTTTAAACCTTCAACTGCCATGTATTTTTTTGTTTTTCAAATGAATGTTTTTACCTGACTCCAGCAAACTAAGAATCAAAGCAAGGATCAAATCTGAAATAATCTCTACAGCCTGTGCACTGCATAGTGCTCAAGAGCTAAAAGAAACACAGTGAAAAGTTGTAAAGTGTTACTCAGAGAGTCTTCTGTGGCATTATTTGCCGTACCAAATTCTGTTAATCTCACAGAACTTTCTAGGAACCCTGTAAACAGTCCTTCACTAATTACAGAAAACATTTAATTCCCTTTGAGATCAGGAATTTGAATGGAAGACTTTATACTCCACTCATGCAGAAGATCTGAATTGCAGTAAATGTTCTTGAGCTATCTGGGAAATAGAGTAATTTAAAAAACTTTTCCTCTGAATACATGTCAGTATCATTTCAAGCCATTGGAACTAAATGTTTTTAGTATTTAGTTTTGCTTCCCTGTAATCATGTCTGTATTTATGAATTGTTTGGAAACTGTAATTGTGCAGCTCTAGACAGCTATAGATTTTTAGGATAGTGCTGCTTCAAAATTCAGTTAAGAAACATGTAATAAAGCAAGAAAATACTGTGTCTGTGTATAAAAAATGTAAAAATTCAAAAGTTGTGTGGAATTTTTGGTTTAGCAATAATTTTTTTTTTTAGTAGTCCAATCCTGACTACAGTGTCAGCTGTATTTTATTTGGACTAGCGATCTGTTAGGGTCTTAGTTTCCTTTTTAACAGCACCTATCTCCCTTAGCAAGGAGTTGTTGTTGCGCAGTATATTTCACACTGAGTCTGCTA